TCCGAGCTCCTCCCCCAGAAATTCATCAGTCTGTAGTGATTGATGATTGGCTCCTGTACTAGAAGGCGGGGCTTCATTCACCTTATTGTCCATTACACTTTTCCCTATTCAAAACTATATAGGCGACACATCTTGTGTATGCTATAGTCTTTAGTCATGTTATAAACTTGAAGCGTTGCCATGGGATCTTTAGAATGCAATGGATTATAATCCAATGTGATCTGATCTAATTCAATGGAACGGTCACAAAAAAATAAATAAATAAATAAACTCAGCTGATGTATATAAAACCGTATTTAATGTATTGTAGTGTATTCAATAATGATGTCAGTTTGACAGCCTTACCGTTAGTTTGGTACTAGGCAATGATGTAAAAAACAAAGCCCTGCCCCAACTCAATATTTTGTTTCAATTAGAAGTACATCAATCCACTGAAATAAAAGTATCAGAAACTACTGGACTTTTGTACACATCCCATCTGTGCACCTTTGTTTCTACAAAAGTTGTTTTGCTTAGTGCTTTGATTTGCAATATTTTTAGGAAACGCTGTCTCTCCTTTTCTAACTTGTTTATGTGTTTGTTCACTCTTCTTATCGTCCATTTGCTCTCCATTGGCCTCCCTCTCTATCCTTTTCAATCAGTGGCTACTTGCTCTTCTGAGCTTGTTGATTTCTTTGTGGCCCAAATGTTCTGTATTTACCCATGCACTCAGTCAGTCGGTATCCACTGAGCTGAAGGTATGCACTCGGTTTAAATGGATGTCCAGAGCTTTCATCCTCACAAGTGCTTTGTCCTCTCTCAGCATTTTTCTCACTCATTTATTCATCCCAGAATCCTTCTCTACAAGACTTTTTATTCAGCAACAAGACCTGACTGTTTTTTGAACTATCAGCGAAGTAAACAGAACAGAAATTATTAAAATTGCATGTGGAATTTTTAGTGTTCTTAGTAAAAAGAGCAAGGACTTAAATCTGCAGACTGAAGCGCAAAAAGAAAACACACATTTAACTTCTTAAAGTAAGAGTATGTAATTTTAGCTTTATAAAAAAAAAAAAACAACACGCAATAAATGCAAAGTACCACATTTTAAAAGGTAACAGAAAAAAAAAAGTAAATTAGTTTTCCATTTACTTGCTCCTGTATTGTTTTTGCGTGTCATACACTGTTTACTAAAGTATGTGCTCTAAGTCTGTCAACAAATAGGGCTCTTTTTTAATGAACTAGGTGCAAAGTCTAAAGTGCATGGTGCTAAAGCATTAAGGGTGTGTCCCAATCCACTTTTGCTATTTTGAGGACAGAAAATACGCTCTGTGCCTTGGTGCATAGTGTAACAGAGTTGTGCTTATTTTCTTAATATGGGTGTGTTTTGAGCATAACGTGCATTAAACCATCAGTCTCATCTCACGTTCCCTTTAAGAAGAGATGAAGGGAACTTCATCTCTGTTACGTTGCGTCATGGCACATTCTCTGTTACGTTGCGCCATGGCACATTTTCTATTTAAATGGCGGACTTCGTAAGTGGAAAACTGAACTCTTCACTAGCAAGAAAACAATTAAACAGACCATCTGCAGAGCGAGGATAAAAAAGCCTCCTCCATTTGGCCTCTTTACCTTCTCTTTCTCTTTACTTTTACTCTTTATTTTAGTCCTCTACTTTCATGGAGTAAGGAAAAGGTGGAAGCTCATTCCACTGAAGCCATCCATTAGGCTACATTTTTAATTTCATCTGTTAATTGCAAAGATTTGTTTCTAAACTGTTTGTAAATTCAGTTCTAATTTCCATCAAACGAATAAATGAACAATAATAATGAAGTGTGATCCAAAAAACTGAGTTATATCCAAACACACATGCCATGCTTATGCCCCATATGGTGATGCATACGTCTCTAAATCCCAATTTATGTCCAAATCCAAATTTATTAAAACAAATATGCATATAATAAATACTGAACGTGAAAATCATGCCATGAATGTCTTGCGCCTTATTGCGCTGAGTGTATGATATGACCCAAAAAGCCAAACTTAGATTCATATTAGACCACTTAATTTGTTATATAGATAAAACTCTTTATCCAAACAAATATAGTGTACATCACTTGATGCAAGTTGTCAAATTTTATACCACAATATCTTGACACTATAATGTCGTTTCAGCTAATTTTTTGATCCATTTCGGTTTTACTCTATATGATCAAGAGACAGCTACTTATAGTATTGAACAGATCACTGAACAGAACATACTGTAGATTTCGGCCTGCTCACATATTTTCTATCACTTACTGGACTACTATTATGGAGTCTACCAGCCATAAACAATATGAACTCTAAAGGAACATTCCACATTGTAGCCGTGGTATAAATGCAAAGTTGCTTGATTATTTAGTTGGAATGAGAATAAACTGTAGTTCCTATCTATGGATAGCACAATGCACGCTGGTGCATGGTCTAACAGGGTTGTGCTTATTCTCTTCATTAACTCTGTAAGAAATGATATGATCAATTAGTCCTGATAGCATATGTTTTTAGGTCAATTTAACTTATTAAACTAAGTTAATCACGTTCTAACTTAATTTTATTAGTAATACAAGCTGTATTATATCAGTTTAACATAATTTAGGTTCAACAGACTCAAAGTTAATTTGATTCAGCTTAAAATTATAAGTTATACAAAGTTTAACTTAATATTTTAGTCAGTTTGATTGATGTAAGTTGAGATGACAAGAAAAATGTATTTTATTCAACTGAAAAAATTAAGGCAGCAAGAATTTTTCTACAATGTAGCAATAATAGGCTAGAAAACAGCTTCTCCATCAGTCCAGTACATGTTGTAACTATAAGTGTCAAGCTTTAAATACATCGAAACTCTTTAAAAAACTGAGCAAAATGCTTATGGTCTAATCTGATTCAATTATCAATGCTAGGCTAGGCTAAAAGTGCTTCTGCCAGACCTGGAGATCAGCTAATATTATTTAAACCTCAGGGAGTTGTAAAATGTACCTTTTTAAATGCTGTTTTTTTTTTTTTTTTTTTTTAATATGGACACTCTTAAAGGCTTCTTTTGTGTTCCACATAAAATTAATAGCACACAGATTTGGAATGAGATGATAAGCAGTTAAAGTGACAAAATCTCATTAGTTTAGATTATTTAATGAAGGTTTTAGTCACAGAAATTGTTTTGAAAACAGATTATATAGTTTCCTGTATATTTGCTTTATACTATAGTCTATATTCCATTTTTAAACTGTCCACTTGCTATTATATTCTGTTGATTTCTTTTGTATTGATTTGCTCAACAGAGTTTCCGTGTGCAAATCTTAGTTCAACTGTTAATATGTGAGGTTGGATGGCATGCAGTATAATCCTCATGGACAGATGAGATGCAGTATGTTGAACCGAGGGTCATAGGGCCACTGATGCATGCCGATCGAGTGTGGAGATTAGGCCAGTGTCCAGTTGTAATTACAATGGTAATTCCACTATCCAGATGGATGCTTTTTGCAAGCGAGTGCATCAAGGACAGTCCACATGTCTCTGAGAGTTGACGGCTTTACAGAGGCTGAGGAAAGCAGCTTACATTAAATGGGGGACTGGTATCATCATTCTATTGCGTCTCCAGCCTTTGACTTCATCGTTAATGCCTGGAGATCATACTTTAATGCTGTTGTCCCCTGCTTTTGACTCTGCCATAATGTTTCAAAACTCACACTTTAATACCACTTGGATGAAGTGGGGAACGTGTCTGCCATGCTCCTCAGCGGGACAGCATCGAGACCCCTGCTGTTTAGATCCAATCCCAGACTCACACACAAAGAGACAGAAACGAATGCAGTGCACAAGGGGGAAATAATGCAGAACTGCCCTGAGATTGTCATTTGATAGAAAGAGGAGTGTGAATGAATCGGAGGGAGATGTTGAGGGATGAAACCTTGATGAATTTATTTCTTCTTTTAAACACAAAACAAACATTGATATCCATAGATAGAAAAAACAACAACTATGGAAGTCAATGGCTATTTTTTTTCCAAAAAACATCCTTAGCTAACTAAGGTTGCAAGTTCCGTTACAAATATAGTTCGTTGTTTTGGCGAATCCGTGGTTCTAAAGAACATTTGCAAACTGCATCGTGAACTTTTTTGCGCTACACCTCTAGAGCTGTAGTTAGAAGCATAGTTCCTAGTTATGTTCTATTCCCCATTATCCCCCTATGTCCTATTCATTTAAACATTCTAACATTTAAACTTCAAATTCAGATTTGTTGTCAAAATAACAGGCGAATGGTCAAAAGGCAGGCAGTAGACAAGGTAAAACAAACAAAACAAAGCAAGGTTCAAAAACATGGAAGGCAGTGCAAGGAAAATGCGTTGTAGTGTCACAGAAAAAGATGACAAGACTCAGCAATGAGGGTCTCAAAGTGAGCCATTTATATGTGTGTTGTAATCAGTCCATGAGCAGCATCAGCTGTGTGAGTCTAATCAATGGAGACATGAAGCAGGTGTGTGTGTTGCATGACTGGATCTTGTAGTACATATATAGGTAGATTTGTAGTCCTTAAAGTGATCTGCATGTTTACCAGCGATCTGCAGAGTCTGCATCGCTGGTGGTCTTGACAGCGATCTTCATGTTGACAATTGCAAGCAAAAGTGATGTGATAGTGACCACCAGTGTGCATACTTCATGTTTTGTTAATGTACAGTATGGCTTGCTTGGAACCACACCTGAGGTGGTACTAAAAAAGTTACTAGGTATGGAACACAGTAAAAAAGTCTGCAGCATACAGTACCATGCAGTGGAAAAGCACCAAAATAATAACATCATATATTTTTGGGATGAACTATCCCTTCAAGAGAAAAAAAAAACCTCTAAGCATCAGTATGTCAGCGCACTATTGAAAATTCTGTTCCCAAAAGTTTCACATTGAACTGAGAGGGGTTTACAGAGTTGGTAGGAACTTTCATGTTGAGACTTGAAAATCTGAATTCTCACTCTACTTCATTTCACAGGTTGGGCTTCCCTATGATGCTTATGACCTGCACAATAGGCATGTGTTACCTGCTCGCAACCCACATCGGACTTCACTGGAACACATAAACTTACCCACCACATGGGGAACCAAAAAGACTTCTGAGTTTGTGTGAGGATGTCAAATCTTGTTTGAATTCTGTTCTTCTGGGACGGATACACAAAGAGCTAAACTTCGTAGACCTGGTTCGTCCTGAGAGACTAAGCTTTACATGCAGGAGAGGTACAGAGAAGATAAACCATGGGAACATCTGATCATCTGCTGTATTCCTACACGTGTATCACACTGCTATGGTGCTACTGTTATATTACAAATGTGGAGTTTTTTTTTTTTTTTTTTGCCAAACCTGTTTGTATTTTCCACAACAACTTAACCAGAATGTATTTTTAATGCAGATATCTGCTTACAATATATTATTTATTGATGCAGAATGTGGATTGAAACATTTTCTTTTCGTTTATTCTTTTGAGGCATTTCTAGAAATGGATCCTCTATGGGCCATAATTTTATATTGGCCAAATATATCATTTATATAATTCACCTTGCTGAGATTATTAAATTGGGTAACAAGTACCAATACTTGCTCATAACTAATGGCTTATTACCTGCTTATTAATAAGACATTGCCTGTTTATTAGTATTTATAAAAAACATATTCAACATAATCATATTTCACAACCCTAGTCCTACTACACATTGCCTAATCCTAACTATTACCTAATAACACATTCAGTATTAATCCACACAGTGGCAAAAAATTTTACTATTTTGAAAATTGACCGCGCAGCTCGTGTTAAGAACGGCTGATGGTAGCCATAGCAAGGCAAACAGCAGAGGATCGCCAGCTCAGAAACGCATTTAAATTAATAAAGGAAGAAGCACGCATTGCGTTTTTAACGTGGTTTTGGACGCGTATCCATACAGATTTAACCTGAGAGATACAATACAAGCACTGATCTATAATAAATACGTGATTACAAGCCACAAATAAACACATATTTTGCAAACTACACCAAACGAGGCAACAATTTTAATGAAGCTGACATGTTATGATCCGAAGGATGGAGAAACTGGTCCAATTGAACTGTAAATGTTACTGACAAAGTCACTGTCAAAGTCTGACAAAGTCCCATAGTCTCTGCTACTTCTTTAATAGCAAATTGCCTGCGAATCCCGCGTTGCAGCATAGGTTATTGTATAAAAATATCTGAAAAATTACAGGAACAAACACAGCACTAGGTTAGCTATACTGTGGTGTTGTTGTGAAAAATGAACTTTAACCCCCCGCAGCCAGGGTTGGTGCGTCCACAGAGGGGACCCAGGCAGCCACCTGGGTGGCAGAATAGAGAGAGGGCATCTGCGACATCTCACTTTCCCTTGTGATAATACCGTTATATACCGATAATACTGTGATAATACCCCCCCCGCCCCAGTTTTTGCTGTCGTACGCGTAATCCCCGTCTCTCGATTTCACTTTCAGTTTAAGGGCAGCATGATCATCTTTTGCCTAGAGCACCAGTTCAGTTTGCTCCCGCCCTACCCGCAGCCGAATCTCTGTTACTGATCTGTCATCTTCGCGTCATGATCAGTCCTGTGATCCCCCGCACCACTGCTAATGTGTGGAGGGAAAGCGCGTGCACATTTTAACGAAACTGGAAGTACATATTTGGAAATGTACCTTATCGACGACGATGCGATCCAACAAAAGATCCGAACCCAACTCGATTCGTTTATTCTACTCTGAGTCAAATATTTCTCTAAAGAATCAATAGTTTTAAACTTGCTGCCCTTTTAGATTTAAACCTCAGCTGGATGTTTTCATTCCCTTAGAGTTGTGTTACACACTTCATGGAAGCTTATTTTCAAAAACCCATAATAGCTTTTTTTTTTTAAATGGGATTAGTCATGCCTTGCAATGCACCTTATAATAACATTTATGCTGTACTGTAAATAACTGTAACCATTGATTATAATGCATACTTATTTATTGTTATACTTACTAATGCATTAATCGTATTACATATATATTACAAATAACAATGTGTTTAATGCTCCTGGAAGTTGAATAGGTAAGTATTAATTGTGGTTACTGTTATTTAAAGTACAACATGGATGTGAAAACCTTTAATAAATGAAGGCCTCTACAATATCATGCCGTTTGTTGAAACATGACGCATAGTGTAAAAAATGTTGCCTTGCTTTTTATTTCAGCACTGTGTTCAGTCACTGTTTGTGTGCATCAAGAAGAAAACCCTGCATCTGATTGCAGGGAAAGAGTTTATGTAATCAGTGATGCATTAGAGGGCCTGTGTTTTAATCAGTTCATTCCATTTTTTAATTTGGCCATTCCAGCACTGACCTAATTAATCATTTCTACCCAAATCCTCAACCAGTAATATTAATTAAATCGGCTTTTTAAGTAAATTACTAAATGGCAGGAATGTTTTTCCTATTATCTGTGTATTAAGCCCATAGATGTTTTTTTAAGCAACCCAAAACTGAGGATTTACTTACTATTTACTCACCATCGAGTGTTTCCAAACCTTTATGGGTTTCTTTCTTCTGTTGAACACAAGGGAAGATATTTTAAAGCTTCTACAGTAGGACAAACAAATACTGTGGAAGTCAATGGTTACAGGTTTCCAACATTTTTTAAAATATCTTCTTTTGTGTTCAACAGAAATTTTTTTTAAAGGTTTGAAACAAGTAACACTAAAGTAAATGATAACAACATTTTAATGGATTTAATTTAACTATCCCTTTACACATGCATTTAAGTATTTATGTATGTGTAAATACTTAATAATATCTGCTGAATTATACTTCATGTGAATTGGATTTTAAACGACCATACCATTTTGACAAGTTTATATTTGATGATGTGTAATGTTTATTAATAACTCATTTCCCTTCCCCCTCATGGATAACTCTTTAATTTTCTCTCAATTTAAACACTTGATGATTACATGTAAAGGATGATCAGTTGGTTGCTTGTCTGTACATGTTCTGTAACTGGGAATAACACATGTTGCACAGTAAAAAAAATACATAAGCAGCACCAAACCATCACACTTTTTGACTGAGTGGCTTTTATAATTTCATGCATCAGTTTCATATCCAAATGTCTGAACACATCAGACAAAACATCTTTAATTTTTAATATACTTACTTACTCCCAGGGCCATTTATATCGAAGTTGATACTGAGCTACACCACGCTGGTGTTTCTTAACATCAAATTTTTACGAGGTGGGTCATTAGCCCAACGCTCAACCCCCAATCTGGAGGACCAGGACATACACATACACTGCAGACAATTTAGCTTACCCAATTCACTCATAGCACATGTCTTTGGACTTGTGGGAGAAACAAGAGCACCTGGAGGAAACCCCACAAACACGGGAAGAACATACAAACTCCAAAGGGAAATGCCAACTGACCTAGCCGGGGCTTAAACCAGCAACCTTCATGCTATGAGATGACAGCGCTACCCCCTGCGCCAACGTGTCACCTATGATCCTTATTATACAGTTTCTAAAACATTACAATTTAAATATTATTAAATTAAATTAATTATAGTATTAAGACCTGTTTAACATTACATTGCTTTACTTTTCATTAATGTTGCTATTGTTTCTAGCATGTTAAGCGAGCTAGCCTGTCTAGCATATTATTGATCTAATCTTTTTTACTTTTACATTGTCATTTAGCAGATGCTTTTTTTCCAAAGCGACTTACAATTGAACTAATGCATTGCTTACCTGCCATTAGCACGGTTAGGACACTACTAAAAAATTAACATGTTGCTAAGATGTCCTTTACATGTTTACAATGTTGCTAGCATGAATTTGTTGCCTGCATAGCATGATAAAAAATATGCTAGCATTAGCTTGTTGTTATTGTTTAGACACATGGCCAACACTTTTAATTGTTGCCAGCATGATTTGAACATGTTATAGCAAGCGTGAACGTTTATTATTTATTTATTTATTTATTTATTTATTTATTTATTTATTCTGACACGGACATTACAGTGGACAACCAAATGTATTTGTTTAAGTGTTTTAGCAGACTTGCTAGTTCTCAACACCTGTCAACGAGAGGCTTGACCTAAAATGAAAATAACATAGATACATATACACTATTATAAACATTAAAACACATTATAAACATTATAATTCTTTACATAAAATTGCTATAAGACAAAAGCAAAGGCGATATGATCAACAAACTCTGCACTGCTGTTTTCTTTTAACCACATTGTACCATGTTTAACATGGTGTGTGCATGTCCTGCTACGAGTTGTCATTGGTGATGGCATGAGAGCCTAGAACTGAGTGAATGCAGTATAAAGAGAAGAGTTTTAGCCAAGATTGTGTGCTTATCTACAAAATATCTATAAGATGTCAATTTTTAGACATTAAATAGATGTATTTTAGATGCATTTGAGACTTTTAAATACATTTTCAGACATTTGACCTCGTCTGATTTTTTCCTGACCAAACAATTTTAAAACTATATGGTGCAGATGTATGTGTGCTATCTGGGAATGAATAGTCTAATGAGTAGAAGTTTCAGACATAAATTGTACATATTTTAGATGCATTTATGACGTTAAAAGACACGTTCAGACATTTAAACATATTGATTTTTTTTTTTTTTTTTTAGACCAAACAATTTTAAAACTACATGTTGCAGATGTACATGTGCTGTCTGGGAATGCATAGTCTAATTAGGTAAAAATTGAAACAATAAACAGTCATATTTAGATGCATTTAAGACTTTTAAAGACATTTTCAAACATTTGAAAACATCAGATTTTTTCCAGACCAATCAATTCTAAAACTACATGTTGCAGATGTGTGTGTGTTATCTGGGAATGAATAGCCTAATCATTGCAAATACAGAAAATTGTGTAGTGTAGCATCAGCTGCTATAATGTTGCATGACTTGGAACTGTGATATATGTGGAGTATGACAAATGGATCAATAATTGTAATTTGCCTGTTTGTCTGCGCATCAAATATCTGCTGCATATCTTGAATGCACATTATTAGAGAGTGATGCCTAGCATGCATGTCACCACTTTGCTATGGAATAGCTGGAATGCTGTTGATGGAGGAAATTAAACTGGCAAAGAGGTGCTGATTACCTCCAGCAGCCATGAAATGTCGCAAGCAACACTGGCTAATGAAGCAGTCATTCAGAAACCAGAATGCCCTTGCTTATTCTCTTCTTTTCATAAATGTCCCAAAAATGTCAAATGCCAAAGTTCTTATCAGTAAGATGCAACTTTGTTTTAAATTCATGAGGTATTTAATTTTTAAAAAGCTTGACGATTACTAATTTGTAGTCTAAAATCTATTTTGAAATAATTTACTTTGATATACACTACTGGTCAAAAGTTTGGGGTCAGTAGGATTTTTAAATGTTTTTAAATAAGCTTCTCCTGCTCACCAAGGCTGCATTTATTTAATCAAAAATACAGTAAAAACATTTTTAATGTAGTTTATAATTTATTTTAGTAATTTTTTTTACCAGTGATTTTAAAGATGATTCTTCAGATTCATTACTCCAGTATTCAGAGTCACATGATCTTTCAGAAATCATTCAATATCAATATAAATTATTATTATTATTATTATTATATTTTTTATTAATGGTAATAGAATTAAAAGCAATAATAATAGGAGTAAAAATTTCATTTGAAACTACATACAATAAAAAAGCAATTATTTTTTTAATATAAATATCTATAAAAATACATTTAATAAATGCCGTCAAGATAAACAGAATAATTTTCTCAAAAAAAAAAAAAAAACATGAAAAAAAAACTGACCCCAAACTTTTTACCAGTAGTGTAATTGTTCTTTTAGCTATTTTAAAAGCACAGACAAATGAAAAACAATTCCTAACATTACATCGAAAAAGTCAACTTTGTATTAAAGGTTGTAAATATGGCATAATTAAGAATAAACATAATAAATGGTAAATTTTACTGTTTAACTAAATGTTTAAATGCTTAGCAGTGGGATATTTTTGCACAGCAGGGCTGAGGAATAAAAAGGATTTGCACAGGCTTGGTACTGCAGTCGGTATTGGACTATTATTTTATATGTATTATCTGCCTTCTTATGGAAATTAAATCAATATATTTCAGTTAACATGAGACTTATATAGTGAGGCAGAGAACAGAAGAGTAAGCAGTGCACAGCCACACAAATCAAAATAAGTGTTTTTTTTTTATTTAAGGGTCATTATTACTATAAAGTGCCTTTGAGACATCAAAAAAAAAATAATAAAAAAAAAAAATTTTGATTTAACCACATAGTTGTTGTAATAATTATTAGACCTTAGGGTGTAAGAATTGAATGTTGGTCAAGCTCCTGCACTTATTATAAATAAACTGCAAGCAGAAAAACATTAAACAAACCTCAAATTGTGTCAACCCTGCCATGCACAAATTCAAACCAGTATAAGTATAGTGAGTGTGATTATAAAATGTATATTTTCAGAAAGGTAACGTGTCCCTTTACCAAACTAACTTTAGATTATGGAAAAAGTCTATTAATAATAAATAAATAATGGACAAAACATTTATTTCCTAATAAAATATGCAATTGTTGATTGATCTAAAACATTTTGTCAAACTTTCAAACAATATTAACTGGCCCTTATTGGTTCACAAAAGATTTTTTGCTGAGGTTATACATAATTTGTTTATTTTCATAAAAGTTGAACATTATGGAAATGATTCAAATTAAATAGCGGTAAAGTCTCGCAATAATGCCTGAAAGTCCAAATATGGTGAGCAATGTAGATGGATTACAAATCAGAGACATTGTTTAAAGCATTTGTAATAATAATTCATTCAATTCACTTCCCACAACAGCAGCTACACATAAAAATGTAATTTCAATTTAAATAAATTCCAGGAAGATACAGCTGTGGTCTTGAGCATATAGAGCACAGCTTTACTGTGTGCAGCTGTTCATGCACACTGTACATACTGTAAACACATGGCAGTGTTTTTCTGTGCACTTTGTGTTTATCAGTTGGAACTGGCTGCAAAGAGAGGATGTTAAAAGGTAAGTCAGTTCCCCTCTGAGTCAGTCTCAGTATAAAACACATTGGGCCTGACAGTTGCACATATGGCGTGATAACACTTCAGCCGTGACAACATCTGCTGAGCATTCGCTGAATCCACTGCATCTACTCACTGAGCTTTAGCATATGAACATGATTTATTTCCTTGTAGAATCACTGTGACCCATTTGAAGCAAAATAAGACTTAAAATAGAACCGAAGGCAAATGTACTTCAGGAAAATGTTGAAGTTTCCATTCAAAAAGTTTTCGACCAAACCTATATAAAAATCTTTGAAAAGTTAGACAGATAGGTTCATTTTTCACAGCACTTCCATTTTCACATTTAATTTATCAGAAGCATTTATCAGCTGGTTATTTAACAGAATCAGTTTTGGATTTTAGCTATACAGAATAGATGCAGTTCAACTTTTTTTTTTTTTACTTTTCTGAAATGTCTGATTTGATCAAGGCAGATTCTGTTGGACT